CATGATAGACACCAACCAGGAGGTACCCAACAGAGCCCCGCTAACCCACAGACTGCTATCATAATAAACTGTCTTACGCCATTACGTTTTAGGACGCTTTGTTTCACAGTAAAGGAGGCCTCTAACAGGAACTGGAATGAAGACTCCAGTTACAAGGAGATTCTCCCAGAGGGCATGAGGTTGAGCAGAGATGTGCACACCTGTCCAGCCATACTAGGAAGAGCATTCTCAGGCAGCTCGGCATGGGTGGAAGGCAGGGGAAAAGTTGCTTTAGGGACATGGGTGGCTTGCAGGGAGGCTGGCCCCTGGGCTGCTGTGACCCACTGCATAGGAGGACTGGGGAGTGAGCTGCCGTGTTCCTCGTGCAATTTCTCTCTGATTCTCCCCACAAGATGTTTGCAGGCTACTCCTCCTCCAGCTCAGTTAACTAGCTGGTGTGTCTGATGAGCTGCTCGCCTTCTAGAAATGGGTTTGTGAAAATGACACTTTCCTGTCTGAGAGCTTCATGAGCTTTCTGCGAGATGCTGGCACTTCACGGCAATCTCTGGCCCAAACCCCAACAATGTGATGACACACATCCCCCCCACCCTGAACAACAATTCAAAACAGTCTCGCAGGGTCAGTTCCCTAGCCCCTCCCAAAAGGGAGACTCCCGGACAATGCCCCGTCAGCCCAGAAGGGGAGAGCCCCAACCAGCGCCCCACTGGGGAGGAAGCCGAGTGAACGAGCACGGCTAGGAAGGGAGAACCCCAATCGACGCTCACTGCAATAGGGAAGGACACCCTGGAGTCGTCACGCGTGAACCCGGCTACTCACCAGCCGGCCAATCCACGCACTGATGCGCACGCACGAACATGGTCCCACCACCAAAGATCAGGCGAGGTGAGCACGGAAATCCCACTTTCACCCCCAGGCAGAGGCTTCCAAAGTGTCCTGGCTCCCAAAAGAGAAGGAGCCCAGAATGGCTCAATTCCTGGAAGGGAAGGAGCCCAGGCGGAGCAGGTAGAGCTTTCCCATCCCGCGCAGGCCAGAGGGGTTCACTCAAAACAATACACGCAGGAACACAATGCACAAGCTACGTCGCGCAGGCAGACGATGAGAGCAGGTACAGTCTAAAATTCCACTTCCACTACCAGACGGAGGCCTCCAAACAGATGGGCCCCGCTCTCGAAAGAGAACGGACCCAGAGTAGCTTGTGATGAACCCAGAGCAGCTCACTTCCCAGCAGGAGAAAGCCCAGATGGAGAGGAGAGAAGCCCCAGCCTGCTCAAGCTGGAGCGACTTACCCTCAAGCGACACTAAATGTGGACGCAGCACCGGACGCTTCTGAGCTTCAAACAGCCTCATGCTGGGGTGGCCGGTGCCTGTCGGGCAGAATCCCTCCCAGTCCTTCCCCGGAGTGAAGTGAGATCCGGCAGCAGCTGGGCCACAGGGAAGGGGCTGCCCCTGGCGGGGGTTGACCTGCCACGGGAGCAAACTCCTGGCCTGGCTTTGCCAAAATTGTCACCAAACGCAAGTTCATGTGCTCAAGACACCTGTGAGACCAAATAGAAATGTTGGAGCTTGGAGCAGAGAAAGGTTTATTGCTGGACTGAGCAAGGAG